TGAATAAGGAAGACGGCAGAAGAACTGATGCGTTTGCGTTATGGTGTTGGCAACGACTACTGAGAGTACTGTGAATTGCCTGAACAAATAAATCTTGTCTTGTCAGAAGTACAGCCAGAATACTCCTTGGAAGTTAGCAAGGCTGTCATTAGCTCATGTACTTTAGACAAGTTATCCAGATCAGTCTTTGGAAAAGGACGTCATGCTTGGCAAAGTGACAGTTCAGTGGGAAAAGAAGACTGAACGAGGTAGATTGACAAGTGGCTGTGACAGTGAGCTCGAGCATGAGGGCTGTGAGGGCAGCACGAGAAGACTGGGCATGTGCCTAAGGCTGCTGGGGGCCAGAGCCAGCTCGATGGCACCTAACCACCCAACAGCAGTGTCTTTGGCATATGCCTCAGAATGCATGTATGATTTTTAACATACAGGGCTTTCTGTGTGGGGTGTAAATAGAGTATTGTGCTGTGAGTCCTAAACTTTGACCTGCAGCAGAATTACCTGGAGGGTTGGCTGGCCCCACCAAGAGTTTCAAATGGAGCCGGTCTGGGGTAGACCTTGGGGTCCTGCGTTTCTCAGAAGTCCCCTGGTTCTGCTGAGGTGCCGACTTGGGGATGAATGTGACCACATTTGAGAGACACTGCTATGGCTCTATTTCTATTCATTTTTTCTCACTTGTCGAGCTATCTGGATTACTTTATGTGCCTGTAGGTCATTACTTCTGACTGCTGTAGAATATTCCACGGTGTACATCTATGATCTTTACTTCTATATTTTCAATGGCAGACACTTTTGTCATCTACAGTTTTTAAAAAAAATGAACACGGTTACAATGAACACCCTTGTTTATGTCTGCCTTAAGGACCTGTGCTTTAATTTCCCCATGGTTTTTATGAACAAAAGCAAGAGTAAAGAGTATTTCCAGCTTACTCTTCAGAAAAGTTTTGCCAATTTATGATGAGTGTACATTTGTATCTTATTCTTGTTTTAATTGTGTGGCTCTTACTAATTTGCAAAGCTCCTAAACGCTATATGATTATTATTTTTTAAATTGGGAAATACATATAACCAAGGTGGCCAGTTTACAGATGTTGTATATATTTTACTGCAACAAAAAATGGAATTCTAAAAAAGTTTTCTATTTTAACCATTTTTAATTGTACAGTTCATTGGCACTCATTATACTCACCATGCTGGGCCCCTACCACTACTCTCCATTTCCAAACATTTTGCATCACCTCCCCCAGTAACTCAGTTTCTCTTCAGCAGAAACTCACTAACTCGCAGAAACTAGTTCCTCCCACTCTGCAGCATCACTCACCTTTGATCTCTGCCTTTGCCCGTGTTAGACACTGCACACAAGCACGTTGCTTTTTTATACTTACTCCTATGTATTTAATCTTTTTTGTTGTTATTGTTAATAAGATTTTCCTTGCCATTGTGTCTTAATTATTGATATTGTTAAGATTATACACAGCAGAACATCCAACAGTGGATATTAATTTCGTATGTCAATTTTATATGTGAGTTAGTTCTATCATTGATTATTCTGGAGTTCTTTTCCATTTGACATACTATCGCCTACTATTTGCAAACAGAAACCATTTCATTTATTTTTTACCCATTCTTAAGTCCACAATTGTTTTCTTTTGTCTAATTCCATTCGCTAAAACCTTTATTTCAATATTGAATAATAGCAGAGATAGATACTTTATTCCCAAATCCTGTATTTTTTTTCCATTATTGATGTTATGGGTGTTTGGTGGCCTTTCAGAGAATTCTGGGAGAGATTTTTGCTATATGCTCTGTCAAGTTCTAGGGCAGCAAGTATATCACAGTCAGAGCTAGAAAATTTCCTATTTAATTTGTGAACAATATGAGATATGTCATTGCAACAAGTCATTTGAATGGTCACAAAGAAAATTTAAATCTCATTCTTTATTTTGAAACTCATGGGGTACCTTTACTCTCTTCAGCCAGCATACTTAATCATGTGGAAAAACAAAATGCTCTATTTGCTGTTTCTGCCTGTGCACAGACAGCTTATGACAAAGGCGTGTGCATCTTAGCCACAACCTAATTGAATCCAGGTTCTTTTATTTTGGTTCAACACAGAACCATAATTAGGAAGTATGCTGTTGATCACTTACTAAATAAAGCATATACTGTAGTATTCAGATAAGATATTTTCATTGAAGTTATTTCAGAGCTAGGGCTTCGTGCAGTTTTTTCAGTCTTCATTACAATATAAGAAGTATAATTATTAATAAGTGAAAGAACTCATCTTTTGTCACATATTTAAATTTTTTTCAAAATGAGCAAAACAGGAAAATGAGTATTTCTTCTTCATGTAACTGGCACCCTTGACAAAAATGGGCACAACTATAGTCAGACATGATTAGTTTAATTCTGTTCTAAATTCAAGTCATTGCTGGAATGAAGACATAGCCATAGGTTAAATGTCCCAGGTCACGTAGATTCATTCTACTGTACTTTTAGAGTCTGTCACCATTTGTGTCACAATATTAAGAACTGTAGTATTTATGGGACTGTTTATTTCTCATATGATTTATTAAGTATTTTTGAGTCATTGGCAATGCAATGCAACATAATACTAATAATAAGAAATACAAATTTGGTCACTGTGAAAAATATAATACGGCACTGCGAGGTTTATATGGTGGCTTATAATATAGCATTTATTAGAAGTCCTTTTAAAGATATTCTAACAAAAGCTGTTCATAATCAACCTGCTCAGAGAATCCCTAGTAATGATTAAAAGAGCAGTACAGTTTAAGGTTAAAAGAAACAGTAAATGAAAAGTTAAAGTCTGTGTCCCTGGAGCACCGCCCTCCCCACTAAAAAGGGGTCCCATTAGAAGGCTCAGGATAAAGTTTGAGAAAAATGTGGAACAAAACTCAAAAATCATTAAAAAGTCCAGGCTTACGAGTTGTGTAGAGTCTGGTAAAACAGGCCCTCCCCATCCCTGTGGCGGTGGGGCGCGTGCCCAGCCACTCTCCAGATCTGAGAGCTGAACTCTCAGCCCGTGCCCCAGGCCAGCAGTACCCAAGTGTGTGAGGGCAACAACGTGGGGCTCTGCATACCTCAGACTAACCAGCCACTGGATCCAGAGGGCAGGACTTCGAGCTGAAGGGCTAGGAGAGGAGGAGGAGGAGTGGAAGCTGAGGGAGGAAGTGGGGCCAGGGCTGTTCATTGTAGGACTGCAATCAGTGACATGAAGCAGGGTGTATGAATCGTGTATGACTTGCTGAATAGAAAACTGATCTGTACACCTGCACTCAATTAATAATAACAGGGATTTTTTAAGTTCTTATAAAATATTTTTATGAAAGAGATTTTATGACAAAGTCTCTGCCTTATCTTACTCCTACCTACAAGTTCTTTGCAAAGGAACCACTATTAATGGTTTCTTGGAGGATAAACAAAAATGAAGTCTATTCACACTTAAATGGTTAGGTATGCTTTTAAGATATGTTTATAACAGAGTTCATTCTCTCTATCATGATTTTTTCACTTGCTAATACCTTTTTAAATTCTATATGTACCAGCAAAATCAAACCTTTTTTTTTTTTTTTTTTTGCTTTTCAAGAGATAAACTGCTCCGTTAATTGAATGTCATTTCAAACAAACCAATCCAGATTGTCTTCATAGACGATGCATGACCCTTCAGAAAGCTCACTGTGAAACCACCTAGCTGCCGGGGTCCATAGACAGCTCCCCTGGAAGTCCCTTAATACCTAGCCCCTTTTTCAAATATTTCTTCCTGTTTTTGTCTTACCCTGTAATTTGTGGGTCTGAATTCTTCTCATATTTCAAAGTTGGATAATAAATGAATAAATGTATATACTTTAATACCTGAAAATATAGTGGAACACCATATCTAAGAAACTAGAGCTAATTAATACAGCCTATACAATGCAGCTTTCTGAATCAGCATCCCAAATAACCCCAAGAATGGGCTTAAAAACCAAGACTGAGTAGTCATTAAGCCTCTTCGAAAACCACAAGGTGGCCATATCTGACCTCCTCTGACTTCTCAAGTGAGGAAAACCCATGTCCACACCAGCCCAGGGCCAGTTGCCACAAAGTAGAGGTCAGGCATGCCTCCACCCTCCATCCTTCTTTACCTATCCTGACAACTGCTCCGCCCACAGCACTTGACCCCTCTGCTGGGTTTGGTAATCCATTGCAATGGCCGCACAGAACTAACCGATCATACTCATGCGTGTGGGCATTTAGTAGAGAAATTAACGGGTGACCACAAGTCAGGATCATTAAGGACACAGTCTTGGGTCCACAGCAGCACCTCTGCACTAGCAGCCCTGTCTTTCTAGCCCTCAGCCTTTCAATCATATCTTCCTTTGGCCTCTGCTTCCACTGGGCAGGAAGCCTGCCCGCTGTTCTGTCCCAAAGTCTTGGCGCTGCTCCTCTGCTCTGTCTTATGGTCTCCGTGTTTCAGGCCCCAGTCTTGGCATGGCATGGCCCCTGCCATTCAGGCAGGGACTTTGAATGTGCTTTGCTGGTGGCTTTTCTTCCTTGATTGTCCTGGCAATTCTCTCTGTACTTCGGAGATGGTTTTCTTATCACACCTATTTGCATAGTCCCACCCAAACATTTGATGGACGTGTGTTGAGGCATATTAAAACTTTTCACTTCATCATAGCCTAAGGTAGGACTTCTTTGAAAAAAAGCATTATCTTTCAAATTGAAAAAAAATGTAAATAAAAGTATTCCATTGCTTTTTCATCTGAAACTATCAGACCCCTTCAAAGCAGCTGATAGCCTGGTGGGGTCACCAGAGATGCTGAGAAACATTGCAACATCTTTTGAAATTGAGTTAACCAGTATCTTGGGTTTGGTTTGGGAATTGAGTATAATATATTATAAAATGTACTGTTGATAATGTCTGGCAAACTCTACTCATAAGTGGCATTTGACAAAAGTTTACTGCTTGTAATTTTGTCCTTGGGTTTCTTTTGCAGTGTGTGCTGTATTTATGGAGTTTGAAGATTAATCATCCCAGAACTTTGTTTCTAATTCGAGGAAATCATGAATGCAGGCATCTTACAGATTACTTCACCTTCAAACAGGAATGTAAGTGTGGTCACTTCTTGAGAACCTTCTCAGTTGCTCTTTAGGCTGACCCAAAGTGAATCAGATACAGGGAAACAGAAAACCACACCGAATGGAGTGTAGGGCTTTCCTGTTTGTTTTTTCCTGGTAATAATCAAGACTTCACTTCTTAAGACATTATTTCGAAAATAAAATTGGATTTCTTCCCCTCCCCCTTATTTATAAAGTCATAAATTGGGCACATTTAGAAAGCAGAAAGTCCAGAGAAGGTTTTAAAATTGTCCATTATAAAAAATTAAAAAATAAATTGTCCATTATAATACTACTTAGCGATAATCACCATTGTCTCGCTCGTTGGGATATAGTTTTCCATTTTTCCCTCTGTATAAAAATGTGTGCTGCAGTAGTTCAGACGCTGAATTGCATTTATTTTATAAACAAGATTGGACCAACATGTACTGGTCAGTCTATTGCTCTGTGCACTGCCGACTGCTCATTTCACTCAGTATAATGACATTTTCTCGTACCAGTATTTTTGAAAATATTATTTTAAAATATTATTTTACATAATTTGAAGTATTACTTACGTAGCTATTCAGCATTGTGATGACAGTCTCCCTCTTGGTACAGAGCCTGAAAGGAAAGTTGATTAAATTCTGGCGTATGCACACTTTAAACAATCTTTCTGACAGAAAAGTCCGCTGTCAGTGGGAAAGCTACCTATCATTGTAGCCCGTGGGGACTTACTGGAGCAAACCCTGTGACCGTGGACACGGGAGTTTTTTTCTGCTAGGTATGAGTCAGGAGCGACTCCGTGCCAGCTAACAACATCAACAAATCGTCACTAGCAAGATTTTAAAAATAACATCTGTTGCAAGGGTTTAAATAATGGTAAAATGTTTGAAGATTGCTAGTGCAAGAGCTATAGAAATGTTCAGTGCACATCCCCTTGACCCAGCAGTGTGACTTCCTGGCAGGTTGCATGCAGCCTGTACTTGTTTTCTGTGGCTACTCAACAAATCACCAAGGATCACAGCTTCAAACAAGACACTTTATGAAAAAGAGAGCTCACGGTTTCTGTAGTTGGAGGTCTAAGCAGGCTGTGGGGGGATTCTCTGCTCAGGATTTCACTTCTCTCTTGCTTCTGTAAATAGAGATCAGTGGTTGTACCTTGAATGGTCACTTGCAAGCTTTTAAGAGCACAGGCATGATACAACAAACTAGGAAGTAGAACAGCCGCGTTAACCAAGTTTTTCGGCCAATCATCTGGGATGTCCCATGAAACTATGACCATGTGGTGTCAACACACCACTTCTACAAATTATGCTTTTTACAGGTGTGCAACTTCTTGATGGTAATTACATTGATCAGATAGGTAACCCTTCCTTTAATCAATGTGATTTTTCCATCTCTGTACATTTGCCTATCCTTATCTTTTTATATAAGTAAGGTCATGCAACATTTGCCCTAGGATGGCTTAATTTCACACAGCACAGTGTCTTGAAGCTCCAGCTATATTGTAGCGTGTATCCAGATCGTTTCCCCTCAGCTGTGTAGTATTCAATTGTATGCATGCATCCTATTTTGTTTAGCCATCACTGTGGACTTTTAGCTTCTTTCCCCCTTTTTTTGACTGTTGTGAATCGTGCTGCCCTGAACATTGGCATACAAGTCTCAGTTTCCAAGTTTGTGTGTTCTTTAGTATACTGATTTACCTAGGAGAAAGAATTACAGGGTGATGTGGTAGCTCTGTTTTCAGTTTTGTGGAAAATTGCTACGCTGTTTTTCACAGCAGCTATACCGGTTTGCCTTCTCTGTAGTGATGCAAAAGAGTGCCAATTGCCCCATAGCCTCACCAACATTTGTTATTTTCTGGGTCTTTGGTTCCTTGTCTTTGATCTTCGCCATCCTGGTGGGAGCGAACTGATAGCCATTGTGGTTTTGAGTAGCGTCTCTCTGATGGCTAATGCTGTCGAGCATCTTCCCACTTTGGTGACCTTTTGAATGCTCTGCTGAGAGGTGTATTCAAGTCTTTGCCCCTCTCCTGATTGGGTTATCTGTCTTTGAGTTGTTAAGTTGTGGTGCAGCATTTTTTAAAGTAACATTTTATCTAACTCTGTGTTTTATTGGAGTTCTTATTTTGACTAGCAAAATTGGTTGAAGTTATTTTCAGAGAGGGAACAATAGGTCCAGGGAACATTTTAAGTGTCTCATTTTTGCACGGAATTTCTTATCTTGGGTGTTTGCCTTTTCACGTGCTTCAACTGTCAATTAGGCTGCTCTCTTTTTTCATATCTACCAAGATACCATTTCAGCTCCACTCTAACACTGCATCTGGTGTACAGAAATCTTGGAACAAGCGCACATAGTTAAATGTGATCTAAGTTATTTCTATATAAGAAAGAACCATGCAAAACAAAACAGAAACAACCATGTGTGCAGCTTCCATGGCTGTTTTCAGGGATCAGCTGATCTCTCTTAAAGGGCCACTCTGGCTTTTAGCATCAGCAGCTTATAATTACGGCTAAGTGAAGCCTCCTTGCAGATTGTGCAGCTGGTGTCTTGTCATGTTCCCAACAGGGAGGAGAGCCTTTTCTTTTCAACGTCAGTTCTTGAATCGCTTTATACTGGGAGGACGTTTTTACCTTTTTCTTATTCTTTCAAATGCAGAAGTAATTTGAGTCACAAAGGACAGTAATATTTAATTTTTGATATAATCGTTTGCCTTTGAAAAAAACATTTATTTTCCTTTTTATGCTTGGGGGGGAAAAAGAAACCTAGTGCTTTTATGATTTCACCTCACTGCTCTGGGTCTGAGTTTCAAAAGTAAGTAGATTAGAGAAAAGCTCATAATTTTTGCTAATAAAACTATTCTTGTGATAAACAAATATTACATGTCTTGATCTTGGCTCATTGCAGCATTATTTGTAGTAGCAAAATACTAGTCTGGTTAGATTATGATAGATTTATAAAGAGAAGTACCATATAGATATTTTAAAAAAGAAAAAAAACTCATCATAAAAAGATGTGGCATGATTTTAAAAATCTAAGTACCAAAAGCAAATGCAAAGTAGTGTACATATGCTACCATTTATGTAAAAATCGAAAGGAGTTGTGAAAAGAGTAAATGTATAAATCTGCATGTAAATGCATAGTTTTTCCCATGTGTGTACATAGAGTATATACATATGGATATACCTAGCATATGCAAAAATACCCAAAAAACAGGTACTATTGGCTGCTCATAGAGAGGAGTACGTGGTAACCATTCACTGTATACCTTTTGTAACCTTTCAATTTTGAACCATGTAAATGTGTATGACCTATTTTTTTAATTAAAGCAAATAAAAAATAAAACAATTATACCAGGTGGTGATTTCTTATGAATTGGAGTGATTTTAAAAATTAGTTTCAGAGAATTTTGTGAAAAATTATTTTTTGTATTTTACTTTTGTTTTACAACCCTGATACACACCTTTCCTGATTTTTTTTAAACCGTCTTATTGTGAATTGGGTAAAGCTTTACAGAGCAAATCCCTTTTCCATTCAATAGTGTATACATACTTCTTCTTAAAAATATATATGTATTTTTAAATTTATTATTAATTGGGAGTTAATACATATACCATTCCATAGTTCAGTCACGTCAAGCAGAATTGTACAATTGCTTCCACAATCAGCTTCCAAATATTCTTTTTCTCTCTGTACTCCTTGACATCATCTCCCTTTAACCCTCCCTCCCCAACCCTTATTCTACTTGCCGTCCCTATAGGTTTATCAATCCTGGGTTTCATACACCAGAAAACAGGAAAACATACACACAACTTCAATGGCATAACGTCTCTGAGATACACGCTACTGTGAACAAACAAAATCAAAATCAAACAAAACAACAATACAGAACATGTTGAAAACTAGATCAGGCCTAGCATGCACCAGAGCACACTTCATTTAATATCATGAATTGTAATTCTCACAGAAGCCCCGCTCTTGCTACTTCTTGTGTCTCCCATCTCCACTCCTCCTCCCTTCCTAACCCTCTGAACTTTGTCCTTAGGTACATGCTGCCACTTGATTCCAAATGGTTGATTAGTGGAAGGAGTGGGACCTCCCCAGTGTTTTTCTTACCCAACTAGACTTTCCCCTTGTTTGGCTATAAACTGAGCCATGGAGTGAGTTCAGTTCCAGACTTCACTGGCAGTGAATGGCTGTAGTCTTCAGGGTTCCACCAGTCTCTATCTGAATAATTAGCCTGGTCTTTTTTTCTATGACTTTCAGTTCTGTTCCACACTTTCTCCCATGCTGCCTTCTAACGTGATCCCTTCCAGAGCAGTTGGTAGTGGTAGCCAGGTAACACTTAGCTCTGGTGTCAGGAACATGGGGAAATTGTTGTGTTAATATTATTGATACTAGTTAGAACTTATAGTTCTATTATTATAGTTCTTATATTATAGAACTTATAGTATGAGCCTATAGCTGTGGTGCCTTTTTCTTTCATGTAGAAATCATTGTTCTATGTTTCATAACATTTATAATGAAAGTAGAACACCTGAATTTTACATATAATGAATTCATTTAAGTCTCAAAGCAATCCAATCATGCAGGTCGATAATACTATTATGCCCATTTCATAGATGAGGAAACCAGTTCACAGAGGGTGGAATAAATTGGACAAGGTCACATAATGATTAGTGATGTGGCTGGAATTGAGAGTCAGGGAGTCAATCTGGTTCCAGCATCCATCTTGAAATCAGTATGCTGTGTAAGATGCTTATTAGCACACTCGTGGCCCCATTGTGAGCCTTTAAGAACTTTTGATAATAAAGGTAATATAATAGCAGATACTGTTATACAAAGATTATGCATTCTTCATAAAAATTTAGAAAATACAGTAAAACCAAGTCAAGGAGAAATATAATTTTCAATCTTACACTTGAGGAAAAATTAAAATTTTTGTATTTATAATGCATATTTGTATACTTTTAAAATGGTAATATTTTACAACCCAGTTTAGTAACCTAATAATATAAACTTCCTTTTGCTTAATTTTATTTTTGACCTCCTATACTGTTTGCCATTTCTACCTTGGCTTGACATCCTTTTGGGAATAGGCTGCAGGGATTTTTGCGTTTGCCATTCTTAGAGTTGAAAGATACTTTATCAATGTGAGCTAGTTTATGGACATGGCATAATGAGCAACCCAAATTCCTGTTTCTATGTGAACCTAAAACTCTTTCAAAGAAATTCCATTTTCGTGTTTAGCTAAAAGCAGCTGTAAAAAGGAGTCCCCAAATAGTGCAAATGGTTAACAAATTCAGTTGCTAACTGAAAGGTTGGTGATTCAGGTCCACTTAGAGGTGGTTCGGAATAAAGACTTAGTGCTCCACTTCTTAAAATTCTGCCCTTAAGAACCTTTGGAGCACAGTGCTTCCCTGCCACCCCTGGGCAGCAGGATCAGAGTCAACACACTGCGGTAGCAACACAAGGGCACTCACGAACCCACAGACTTGAACAAACCCAAACCCCGATCCCCCAGTGTTGGCAAAGAAAAGAGAATCTTCACATGTTCGGGGGTGGAAGGATCTTAGAACCAGGAATGTGGTCCATTGATTGATATGATCCCTTTGGGCGATCTCTTTGTGATCTTCCCTGCCAGCCCTCGACTGCACACTGGTCCAGTCTGGGCCATCGCCCTTCACATTCATACTCCATAGCCTTGCCAAGGCCACACCCTGAGGTCTAATTTTTTTTTTCTTTTGTAAAAACTAGGCGTACACAAAGGGAAATACAGAATAATTACCAACATAATACAGGCTCGCTCACTCACTGACTCATAGCGGCCCTATAGGACAGAGGGAGCTGCCTCTGTGGGTTTGGGAGTCTCTTTCTCCAGTGGAGTAGCTGGTAGATCTTGTGGCTAGTAGCCCAACGGGTTACACACCTGTGTCCAGCGCACCTTCACTCAGACTCGCTAGATAGGGCTTTTATTCCGTCAATTTGCTGAACTCGGCTCCAGCTTCATGGAGTCTTGGAAGAGAACAAGCTCACAGTTTTGCAGAGCTGCCCACCTATGTGGCTCCTGGCCTTTTCTACCAGCATTCACTCCCATGCATGACTTGGCTTTTGAAAGGCAAGCTCAAGGGCAAAGAAAACCTTCCCTTTCTCTTTAAAGCCCATCTTCAATGTTCCACTTCATTATTCCATGACCTGTTCTTCCTGGATAGTTTATAGCAGATCCTACTGACAAGTAAGGAAACAATGCTCACATTGGAGCAGAGTCAGAACCAACCTAGTTCAGGAAGCCTCACGTGGCTACCCTCCAGTCTCAGCCAGGGACATCCCGGTTATGAGTCACCTCCCTCAGAACAGCCCACAGCTATAGCTTCCCACCAGGTATTTATAGTTATGATTCCCTTTGCTAATTGAATCGCTTTTACCATAAGCCTTATTGACAGTCTGTTTTATACAGTTTCCAGGGGAACAAAGCAAGAAAGTTAATCCAAGGTCAAATTTGTCTTTAAAGCAGCGGTTCTCAACCGGTGGGTTGCGACCCCTTTGGGGGGTCAAACAACCCTTTCACAGGGGTCACCAAATTCGTAAGGAGCAAAAGTACAGCTAGGAAGTAGTAATGAAAATAAATTTATGGTTGGGGGGGTCACCACAAGAAGAGGAGCTGTATGAAAGGGTCATGGCGGTAGGAAAGTTGAGGACCACTGCTTTAAAGAAAAAGGTTTTGCTAACCCTTCAGAAAACCTCTTTACAGAGATGATTTCAAGTTTTCCAACATAAACAGCTTTTGAAATAAGCTTCCTAGTCTCTTGGCTTACAACCTTCTGCATATATGTTAGATTTTACCTTTTCTTTTTTTAACTGTATTTCTTTTCCAATAGGTCGAATCAAATACTCGGAAGAAGTGTATGATGCATGCATGGAAACGTTTGACTGTCTTCCTCTTGCTGCCCTCTTAAATCAGCAGTTTTTGTGTGTACATGGAGGGATGTCCCCGGAAATCACTTCCTTAGACGACATTAGGAGAGTAAGTGATCTTTCATTATCCCCATGTCATACATGTTTTAGTGTACTTTTATTACGATCAGCTACCGTGTTCCTACTGCTGAACATTTTTAAATACAGAAAATCAGAAATAGGAAAATACAAGTACTCAGCAAGCCCATCATTGAGAGCGCTAACTGCTGTGACCATTTTGATACCTTTCAGAAAATTCCCATCACTTTTGATAAAGTTCGTACTTTTCCTGACTCAACACATAACATTCTTTGCTTATAACCCTGATACTCTCGCAAGCAAAGAAACCGGGATTCTAATCCCATTCTTGCCATGAATTAACTATGTGACCTTGATCACATCACTTACCCGTTAGTCACATTTTTTTCTTCATGAAGTGACAATGTTGGGACTAATGCTCTGAAGTTCTGTGACTTTGACGTTGTGACGTACAGTGTCTTTGCTGCGCTTGCTGACTTAGTGGTGACTATGACCAAGCGGCTGTATCTTCAAGCTTCGCATACTTGATGCTCAGTCATTTTTCACTGACCTGTTCTACACTGCCCTATCTCACACAGCGACTAGAACATATAAAACTTTTCTCTGGATTACAGTTATTCTGCTCAATGTGGGCTTGCCAGACAGCCTGTACTACCTTTCCTGCTGCCTTCTTATCTTTGAAATAACCAGAATTTACCCTTTCTGTCCTAAGTCCTGAATTGTATAATTCAGAATTGTGTCACTGGCAAGCTCCCCTTTCACCTAGTGGAAGCCCCCTTCTCGCACGCCGCCAGTCCTGTGACTTGTTTTGCCTTGGCGTCTGTGCTTTTAACTAAATCAGCAACTGGAGGAGGAAAGTGAGTTAATTTAAGTTATATTGAAATGCCTCCACTACAGGGAGTAGACATGAAAGCTCAAAAGTCATTTACCAAAGAAAATAGCAGCAAAATAGCCTTCTACAAATGAAGACATTAGTGTTGAAATGCAGTAAAACAAAGAGCAGTATTATTGTTAAAACCTGCCTGCATGGTAATATTGGCTCCCTAGGCAGTTGAAATTAATTTTGAATAATCTTTCTAAATAACGGTTGATCACTATAAAAGTTGAGTTTTACATTTGTACGATCTGAATACTGCTTTAAAGATGACGATGTGAAATGTGTCCTTTCCACAATATGTCTAGAAGACAGGGGCATTTATTATAGAAAAATGACAAGAAAATGCACACCTAGAATTTGTTGATGTAAAATCTTTATTTTGTTGAGAATATACACACAGCAAAACATGTACCAATTCAATCATGTCTGCATGTACAGCCTTGATTTTATCCTTGGAGCTGTGGACTCATTTAGACCCTCCTCCATGAATATAAACTCATTGCCCCTACACTTCCTGTCTCCTCCCCTGAGTTGCTATGCTCAGTTTGATCCCAAGTAGTTATAATTTACTGATGTTTTCTTTCAGGAAGATGTTTGAGGGGCTCAGTGCTGCCTTCTCTTTTGACCCATACCAATTTCCAGGAGCTCTTTTGCTTTAACGATTTTTTTTCTCCTTTGGATTTTGTGTGTCTTCTAGTTAGACAGGTTTAAAGAGCCGCCAGCCTTTGGGCCAGTGTGTGACCTGCTTTGGTCTGACCCCTCGGAGGATTATGGCAGTGAAAAGACCGCGGAGCACTATACCCACAACACTGTCCGAGGGTGCTCTTATTTCTACAGGTAAGTGCCTTCTCGGGGTGACCAAAGGATGAAATGATGCAGGAATAGACTTTACCAGACTTTAAAAAAAAAGTATTATTATTACTATTTTTAAGATCATTTTATTGGGGGCTCGTACAGCTCTTATCACAATCCATACACATATCCATTGTGTCAAGCACATATGTACATTTGTTGCCATTGTCATTTTCAAAACATTTTCTTTCTACTTGAGTGCTTGGTATCAGTTCATTTTTTCCCCCCTCACTCCCTCCAGCCTCCCCTCCTCATGAACCCTTGATAATTTATAAATTATTATTTTTTTATGTCTTACACTGACTGATGTCTCCCTTCACCCACTTGTCTGTTTTCCATCCCCCTGGGAGGGGGTTATGTGTAGATTGTTGTGATCTGTTCCCCTTTTCTCACCTGCCCCTTACCTGCCTGGTATCACTACACTCATTATTAGTCCTGACGGGTTTATCTGTTCTGGATTCTGTGTATTTCCAGCTGTTATCTGTACCTGTGTACATCCTCTGGTCTAGCCAGATTTGTAAGGTAGAATTGGGATCATGATAGTGGGAAGGTTAAAGAGCTAGAGGAAAGTGTATGTTTCATTGGTGCTATACTGCACCCTGACTGGCTCATCTCTTTCTTGTGATCCTTCTGTAAGGGGATGTCCAATTGTCTACAGATGGGCTTGGGTCCCCACTTTGCCCTCCCCTTCAGTCACATCAATATGATTTTTTGTTCTGGGTCTTTAAAGCCTGATACCTGATCCCATCGACACCTCATGATCACGCAGGCTGATGTGCTTCTTCCATGTCACTTTTGTTGCTTCCGAGCTAGATGGCTGCTTGTTTATCTTCAAGCCTTTAAGACACTAGATGCTGTATCTTTTGATAGCCGGGCTCCATCAGCTTTCTTCACCACATTTGCTTATGCACCCACTTTGTCTTCAGCAGATTGGGTCGGGAAGGTGAGCATCATGGAATGCCAGTTTAATAGAACACACTGTTCTTGCATTGAGGGAGTTCTTGAGTGGACGCCCAATGTCCATTTGCTACTTTAATACTAAACCTATAAATATATGTACGTAGATCTATTTCCCCATCATCATATATAAATATATTTATATATGTACATGCCTGTATTTAGACCTCTATAAGTGCCCTTTGCCTCCTAGTTCTTTCCTCTATTTCCTTTTACTTTCCTCTTGTCCCACTATCATGTTCGGCCTTCTTTCGGGTTTCACTAATTCCTCTCGGTTACATTGCCCTTGATCAAGCCCCACCAGGCATCCTACACCCTCCTCGCCGTCGATTTTAGATCATTTGTTGTTTCCTTGTCCCTGGGGTTGCTTTACACGCCCTTTCTTTTCCCTTCCTCCACCTCTCCTGTGTGTCTCCCACTCCTAACCATTGGCCCCATTGTTTTCTCCACTGGATTGATTAACCCACCTATCTTATCTAGATAGACATGCAGAGACAATAATAAGCACAAAAACAAGGCGAAGCAAAACAAAACAACAAAAGAAAACTAAAGCAAACAACAACAATAAAAAACTATTTTTAAAAAAAGCCTATAAATAGTTCCATGTCTGTTTGTTGACCTTTAGGAGTGTTTTCCAGTCGAGTCTGAGGGGGTGCCACACCCTGGCCCCAAAGTCTATTTTTGTATTCCCCAGGGACTTCATTGCTTTGCTCCCCTTGCTACTCCATTGCATGCCCTTAGTGTTTTACCCCGGTGTGGTGGGGTCAGATTGGGCCCAATTCCTGCACTGTAGCACTGTGGGTCAGTGAGGGGCATCATGTCTTGTGCTGGGGCTGGCCCTATGGTCCTCCCTGTGCGTTGGCTGCTCTGAGCAGGAATGTCGTCCTCAGGGTTTGGTGGGCCAGGATGTTTTCCACTCTCCCTCGGTCCCTCTTCATTTGCTCCTGTGTGCTCTGATCAGACGTGCCCCTTTCTCTGAGCTGTAGCTTTAGTGCTGTCCTCTGAAGTCAATTCTTCTGGGGGGCGGTCCACATAATTGGGATTGGGGCCAGCCCCACACTTTATCAGACTTTTAAGTAGTATGTTATATCCTGAACACTTGTAATATAGGGAATGCTGTTGAAATGTTTTATTACAAGGAGGCAGAAAGCTCTTTCTGTTCCTTTTGGTTTTTATTATATCAGATATTATGCCCTAGTAAGTATAATGCACTTATTAGCAAGATCAGAAATTCTGCATTGCTTCAAAGTTGTGAGCTGACTCCAAATGATCTAGATTACCTGTCCTCAAACATCATCTATAGACTTGTTTTGAAATAAAGATGACTTGTTATTTTTTTAAAAGCTCTCCAGGTACAATGAACCCTCGTTTATCGCGGTTAATTGGTTCTAGACCCTACCGTGATAAATGAAATT